TTCAGATTCATAAAGAACCGGTAGGTAGGTAGGTAGGTAAGCTTGGGAACTTGGTTCGACTTGAGAGAGATATTTGGTGGCACGTTGGTGGAATTCAACGCGATCTCCGTTGACTGGTGGAGACCAAAGGAGAGCGAGGGGGTCCTCCTTCTTCCGAGGACACGGGGGATACCTTTCGCGACACGGTGGTGTATACTCACGCACGCACGCGGCTAATGCGCCGCATAGCTGCCGAGAGAGTAAGATCGACGAACATTCGTTTTTCTTTCTTTTTTTTTTCTATCGTTAATTAACGCGGGCACGGCCTACGCACGCTCCCTTGGCAATAGGGACATACATAAATGCGCGCTCGCGGTACATTGCAAAAGCGTATCCTGCACTGTCTACCGGCTGCTACTTCATGCGTGCGTCCGCATTCCTAGCCTTCAATTACAAACCGCGCGCAGCGCAGAGGTACGTACACGTACGTGTACGCCGGCACACACACACACACGTACGGGCGTCGCGCCGCGCCGCGTACACGTACGTACGTTGCGCGCTTGTCTATTAGAACGCTCGGTGGACAAACGCTAACAGCAGCCATGGATTATTACCCAGCCAGAACTGGACCCTTTGTTGTTTCTGTCGGTGCCTACGGTCGAACATCCGGCTCGCCACCGCCGCCGCTGCCGTGATTACCGTCGCGCGCGCGAGCGCGCGACGTCGTGTCGTTTTCGCTATGAATTCTTCTCGCGAAACCCTTTATCCGCGATTAACGTCGCGCGCGTACAACGAACGCACTCCTGCGTCCCACCCACGCGTGCATACACGCACGCACGCACGCACGCACGCACGCACGCATGCCTCCGACGATCTCGTTGTCGGACACGCGAGGCGCCTCGCGTTGATCGATGCGTATCGAAACCGCAAATCGCACGACGACGAGAGGCCGACTCGGGGCCTCCTTTTTCTTCCTCTTCTACGCTACGGAGAAAAAGATTAATCCAAGAGCAGTTTGAATTCGAGTGAAACGAAGTGAATTTCAAGATTGTATCGCGTATGCAGTAATGCGCGATAAAATGTGCGCACTAGTGCCCCCTCTCGAACAGATTTTCTCTTCTCACGCGCAGCTTGGTAATCCTTGGTTGTTCGCTTGTGATTTCGGCTCGAGACAATCGCGGCCGAGTCCGCGGCGTACAATTGATCGTGGAGTGGAGTATCGTTACGATTCGAGAGAAACCCGTTTGATTTGCATATAATCGATAATCGGCGCGCGTCTAACATGAAGAAAATTCCGAGAGGAAGGAAGAAATCTCCCACGAACATTGGATTTCTCAATGCGGAAACGCAACATTCGCCGCTCGCCGGCGACATATGGTACTCGCGTTATTGCACTTGCGGATCGTAGGAAACACGCGCTTCATTATTGCTCATTACTCGTATGAAATTATGCAGCTGATCGGCGGTTTCCGCCCTTGTCCCCGTGCACGCGCGTGCGCGCAGGCGATGAAGTCATTTTGTCATTAGAGCGTTTCGTGATAATGAAGCGTCATTATTAAGAGCCATCCATCCATCGAGCGTTTCGGATTGGTACGGATACAATATATCGGGACTTTGTCCCAAGCGATACGTCCCAAATACGCGTGCGAGAAAGACGGAGGAGCGCGCGCGCGCTCGAGAATTGGACGAATAATTTCGAGTGAACGATCGAGCGACATGAACGCGCACGAGATTTTATCGATTATACCATGCGCGACACAGTGATACGATACGATACGATAGCTTCGTATTGATTTAAGCGCGATTTATTATCGCGCTGACGACCACCTGCACATGGGAATTATATAGAATCTCAAAGCCGGTCGCGGCTGCGTTTTGCGGCTTTGAAACGCAGGTGGCATGAAAGTGTGCTCACCAGATACGCTTAGCGGTAATGGACAATGGTCGCGAATTCGATACGCTGTCTCGCGATGTAGGCTAGACGTCATCTCGAATTACACGACGAGCTCCGCGAGCGACCGCAATTCGTCATTTCGCGTAAGCATTTATCTCGTCGCGTGCATCGGAACGCAATATCCCCGCGCGTTGTGGATTGTCTCGCGTGTCTTCGTCGCGAGGAGGTCTTCGTCGCGCGGAACGCCGTCACGGTCATCGCTATGTGACCTATGGGCCACCCCACCAAGCGTGCTCATTAACGTTTCGTCTACGGTATAATTAATCGCGCCTGAGAAAAGTATCGCTTGTGTTCTCGCCGAGCGCCGATTCGCGCAAATGCGATGAGTGCGCGCGCGCGAGCGAGCGGACGTTGCCGCGACGTTGATACGAATTTCGGGCGGCTGAAGAGAAACTTCACTTGCCGACGACTCGCGACTTTCATCTAACGATCAACCGAGGGTTTTTACTCGAGTATCAACTGATACTTTGCCACGATACGACACGTGACGCGACCGCTCGTTACCGTTGCGTACAGCTGCGTCATTACGACGGTAATTTGCGTGCCTCTATCTTGTTTTTTCTTCTTCCGCGTAGGTTTTCTGCGTGATTTAGTAAGTACACACGAAAGTCACACACGGAAGAAAAGAATGCGCAAGGCGTACACCGTACACGTAATCCGGCTACGAGGGAAAACGGATTCGACCGACGATCGTCGGACGGACGGACGGGGATCGTTTCGGAAAAATAGGGAAAAACGAGAGCGGCCAGACGGAGGAGTCTGGTTCTCTATCTTTTCCTCTTTCGGTCAGAAGAGGGATGCATCAAGGCCAGATGAGGCCTGTCCACTGGTAAAAGGGGGCCGAAAAATGGCTGACAGGCAACAAACGAGAGCCATTTGTTAGCACCGATTTGACCTGGCGGCGTTACCGCCGCGTCTAGACACCGAGGTCTCCGCCTAGGTCTCTTCCGCCGATCTTCCTCTGACACTCGCACGGTACATTTCCGTAAACTGCTCGCTCCGATGTTCATCACGTTCATCGCACGTTATTATACGACGTGCGATGTGCGAGTTGTCGTTTTGTCCTTCGCCAACGATTTTATTCATTTCTTCGTCGGTAACTGGCGGCGCGACGACGCCAAGTTGCCACGAAGAAACTACTTTCCCCAACCCTCGCGCGAGGAAATACCCTCGCCGCGCATTACGTCGCCGCCTTTGTCGCGCGCAAACAGTACTCGCAAAGTATACTCGCGACGAGTTTTCTCTCTTCTTCCCGGAAAATCGCTCAAAAGTTGGCAAGAAATGGTTCCAATTGGGAGAGGAAGAAAACGCTCTTTCCCTTTCTCTTTCCCTCGCGGATGTAACACCGTATACTTACTCTGGCAAAGTTCACACGACAAACGAACGCGAGGGTGGGGAGAAGGTGTAATTACTATAGTTACGGCTTTCGTTTGGAGAATTGGCGGATCAGAATTGGAAACGTAAGCGGCGTAGTACCTGCATCGCGCGCGACGTTCGCCTCCTCGCCGTGAGTTCGTTCCCGCGCCCGGAAATGCATAATTGAAAGGCGAGGAGAGCCTCATAAATAACCGCGCTAATTATTTCTAGCCTCGCCAATTTCCTGCCTTCTTGTCCGTCTTGCACACCTTCTTCCCCCCTTTGCTCTTTCGCTCTTATCCTTCTTCACCGACCGCCTCTCGTCTCTTTTTCTCTCCGTCCTCTGTCTCTTGCTCTTGCTCTTTCGCGTAGTGTACCTGCCTATACGGTACGCCACACACACACACACACACACACACACAACGCAAAGTTTTCAAAGTCTTTCAATATCTTTATTCGCTCGATGTTACGTTGCTCGCGTTAAAGTCTATTAAAGTGTGCGTTAATCGGCACAACATACATAATACGAGCCTCCAGGACGCGATTAACTGTAGACTTTCGAGTGGGACGTTATTCAAAATTAACTCTTGCTCTTCAAACAGTGAAGCCATCATCCTGCAGCGACGGCTGATGTAACGCGTTGTGTTTCATCGAGTCAAGCAGATGCACGCGTGAAATTATGCGTGAGACGCACGATGACAGATTAGCGCGTTTTTTCTTTTTTTCATTTTTTTTTTTTTAAGAAAGCGTTTTCGCGGATCGTTATTAAAAGGGCGACATGTTTACCTCGCCCGACGGCCTTCACCGAGATTTTGTCGCGCCGAGGTCGCGCTTGTGTAAGGTAGACTCGGACGAAACAGAATTCTGCGAAATCCGCGATTTCTACCTCGGCAAAAAAGGAAGAAGAAAAAAAAGGAAAAGAAGGTAGAGAGAATCGCGCACTGGTTTCTCTCGTCGAGTTACGACTCGTGACTCGTCGTGACTCAGTTTAAGACTCTCGCCGCTTCGAGATTTCTGATCGTCCTCCTTCTCTGTCTCTCCCCCCCGTCCCTCGTCCTGTCGCGCGCGGCATTTTTTTAAGCTCCATAAAATTCGCGCACGACCGGAACGGAGAAAATAGTTTAGCGTCGGGTTCTGAGTGGGCCCCGCGAATGGACGCTATTAGGCCCAGGTAGACCGCGATGATATAAAATCGATTTTTTATCGCGAGAGACGAGAGAAAAAGGAGGAGGGGAGACGAGGTAGGGAGCGAGCGAGAACGACTGGAAATTAGTCAGCGATGTTTTCGGAGACTTCTGAGTGCTGCGCGGCGTATCCTTCGATTCTACCACCCCTCGTTCTCGAATACCGTTTTATCGCTCCTACTTACACCGCGACGCGGTGAATTTCGTTCTCGTTTTGTACCTTTCTCCCTTTCAAACAGCATCTTATCTGCGAAAAGTGTAGCGGTGTCGGTACACCGAGAATTCGCACACATGTCTTTCTCGTCTCCTCTTTCATGTCGCTTTCGCTTCCCCCCCCCCCGCCGCCGCTTTTTCGCAGCTTCGCCATTGACCCCCAGAGACCCTCGGAGGGGAGAACTAAGATTCCTTAACCAAATATACAAGCGCAATTAAAACTGGATTTGTCGGTTTCCGTCGACAAATCTCTCCCGCGTTGGGAGTAATGGTGAATCGTCCCTCTCGCTTGAACCAAAAAAGCTGTTCTTCAATATTCTTTATTTCTTTTCTTTATAAATAACAAGAGTTACAAAGAGACATTGATTTAATTAAAAATATAAATACAATGAAAAAATATCTTAGGTTGGCATCATTTTTCAAGATACCGTCAAAATTTGTAGATGTGCTCGTATCTGAAAATTTTGTCAACAAAATCTTTAAAATATGACTCACTCATCTGTACAACATACATGACGATTCCGCACAAGATATCGTATCGTTACAAATTATTGCAAGAGTCGTAAGATTCGTCGTCTTGTGCCTTGCTTGAGACTTTCCGATGCAATAATTCGAGGCAATAAGACGGGGGAGGGGGGGGGGGGCGATCTATCTCGTCCACACGAATCTCAATCCGCTATTTCTTTGTAACGTTTCTGCGTTTTTCGCCATACCGCTTGCTTCTTCCCCACGTTAACGTCCACATCGACGTTGGAAAAGTCCGTCTCGCTCGTCGATCCGAGTCCGCTCTTGTCGGCGTGATTGCACTTGATAGGCAC